TGACTTTTGGGTTAAGATGTGAGCTCTCAGCTGTTTTTGCCATCATATGTTTGTTCCACCATCATGGGCTCTAGTTCTCCAAAACAAAGCCCAATTAAATGCTTTCTTTTATAAACTGCCTTGGTCACCGTGTTTTCTCACAGTGATAGAAAAGTAACTAAGACATTTCCATAGCCTGTATCCCTTCAATGTTATTTTTTCAAAAGACGTTCCTAATTAGGAAATGTGCTCTGAGGAATCATACTGGAAGTCAACAAATGCAGTGGGGGATATTAGGGTTAGAGATTAGGGCTTCTTCTTCAAATTTGTTGAGCCAATGAAATCTTTTGACATTAGATAAATACAGGAACCAATTGGCATAGCTGAGGATGTGCTTAGACACAAACATACTTTGGAATTCTTAAACACAGGTGTAAGCACTTTATTGCTTCTCACTTAGTCATTCCATTACCAACTTTTCATATATCTGCTTAAGCACAGTCAGGTTCTCAGCTATGCTCAATGACTGAGTCAGGATTAACTTTTTATCTATTTCATATACGGCAGATGCAAAAATAGTTTGGAGTGAATTACATTAATATCTTAGTTGGCAATGAAATGAGAGTAAACATACTTACATTGCAAGCTTTCAATATCTCCTCATGAATGCCTTTTCCTAGGTTTTCATTATTTATCATGAAATACATTTACTAATACTAAATGACCCATTTTTTTTGTAAAATCACAGATTTAATGGATTATTTCACTGAATGCAAAAGCTGTTCTGCCTTCCAGCACCTCTCTCTTTAGTACTCTGTGAATTTAATTAAGACTGTTTACTTCCCTTTGTTAACTGATGTTACAGAAGTCCATACCTAACACTAGTTCCTGCAAAATACTTGTCATTTCCCTCTCCAAACAAGTAATTCAGTGTTTAAATAAAAAGTGTTCTTCAGTTTTTGACTCAGGAAGGTTCAAGAAATTTATCAGGAAATTTAGGGGCTTATCAAAAAAAAAAAAAAAAAAAGACAGAAGCACAACATGAAACAGAAATTAGCAGGAAAAAAAATGAGCCAAGTAGAAAAGGAAAAGAGGCCAAAGACAAAACTAAATGAAGTAGGAACATTAAATACTTCTGGACAAACTAAAAGGTTGTAAAACATAGAAGACAACAGAGATTTAAAAAGTGTAGGGGCTGGAGAGATGGCTCAGCAGTTGAAGGCATTGGCTGCTCTTCCAGAAGTCCTGGGTTCAATTCCCAGCACCCACATAGCAGCTAACAACCCCCTGCAACTCCAGTGTCTGAAGTCCTTTTCTGGCCTCCATGGGAAATGCACAACGCCCTCTTCTGGACTCTGCAGACAATACATACACTTGGTACACACAGGCATGCATGCAGGCAAAACACTCATACACATAAACTGAAATATTTTGAAAGTGAGTAAGCAATAGTGAAAGAACAAAGCACAAATTTGCCTGGCACTGCAAATAGGAATGTATATTATACATTTTACACACACACACACACACAAATTTACAAAGAGATTTACTACTTCCTTCCTGCTAGTATGAAATTTATTTCCAAAGATGTGCAGTGATGTAATGCAGTGTTTATTTATGCTTTTAAGGATGGAGCTCTGTTAAAAGCAGTGAGCATGTCCAGAACTGAGCTAGGGGAAAAGATAGACAATGGACTGTTTCTGTAGCAAAGTCTTCTAGTTACATATACTTAAAAGTAAGTGGGGGAAATAAAGAAGCGTGTGAGAGGTGTTAGTCTGCATTAAATATTGATACATTAAATACTGAATTTTCAGAAATGGAAGAGGTAAGTTTGTGATTAGGGCAGCAAGCCTGCCCTGGATTTTCAGGAAGACAGCATTTGAACACATACTACTAAAGTAGAGGTGTGGACAGACAGCCGGCCAGTGAGTTCAAGGGCCCGAATCTAACCTGGTGGCTGCGATGAGGGCCAGAGCTGGGGAGGAGGGTCTCAACACCACAGGTGTCTAACCCCTGGCTGGGAACACAGTTGGTTTTGTGCTTCGTGCACTCAGCAGTAGGCACAGGTGGGATTTCAGTTTACATTTAACAGGAAAATCTGTTCCAAGGAGGCCACTGTAAGAAGCCGTATTTCATTATTATTTTATTGGTCATGGATCTGCTTCATTTTGTTCTCAATTTGCTAACTGTTTTAGAATAGCACAGACCTTAGCAAACCAATAGCCACACCTGACCCAGCCACCTAATGCATGACACATCGCCTCCTTGATGAGCATATTCTAGTATAGCACAGAAGTTCTCAACAATCACTGTCAGGATTCATTTAAACACAAATAGTGTGGTTTCTGATGCAGAAAGTCTGAGGTGAACAATTCTTACAAGTTATTGGTCAGAGTTCTACCCTGAGTCATAGGTCCCTTCACTAACTAACTCACTTTCCCTTTGCATAAGTGGCAAGCACCACTGTTTAATGAGGTTAGATTGCTGTTACAGAGTATACCGGAATATGCAGACTGATGGTGGAAACGTCCTGCCTGTACTTTGTCATTTCCTTTAATGGTAACCCCACCCCCCTTTTCCCTGGTATTCTAGCTTAGCCTCTTGCCATCCTCAGCACGTTGATTTGGTCAAACTTAATAGAGAAAATATGATCAGTATTCAGCGGCATTCAACATGACACTCTCTCCTGGGAGAACTGAAAAGCTAGTATACATGAATCCTGAAGGACAAATTCCTAATACTGATATTTTAAATAATCAGAATGACCTCTCTACATGAATTCCTATATACTACCCGCTCTCTGTATCAACAAACTATATATTTATGGGTGGCACACTCCTCATATAAAAACATTTAGAAAAAAATTGCACCTGTACTGAATGTGTATAGACTTTTTTTGCTCTTATTTCCCAACAATAACTACATAAAGGACATCTAGGTTACATTAAGTATTGTAAATTACCTAGAGATGACTTAATTCGTATGGGAAAATGTGCACAAAGTATGTAAGATACTAAGCCATAATTATATTTTGGAACTCACCAGGGCCCTGGAACTTATTCTCAGGGAACACCAAAAGACAATACGAACTGTGTGTGTGTGAGTGAACTTATACACACACACACACACACACACACACATAAGGCGGACAAAACCTTTTCTTTGGCTACCTTAAGGGTGACAACGATCTGATGAGTGTAATTTTGGAAAGTTCAGACTTTGATATGTCTTGCAGATTCTTGCATACAAACTAGGACAAAAATACACTGATTTATGTTGTCTGTGGCACTTTTTCTCTTCACACTTCTTGACTCTCTGACATGCAAGCGTGTGAGAGGGACGTTCGGTGAAGGGAACTGAAGTTTACAGTAGTAGACATCTGGCTTTACCTCTGTTTCCACCTTCCCCCGTTTCCCGTGGCTCCTCTCATCGGTGGCTTTCTTGAGTCCCCGGCACTAGGTTTGAATTTTTCTACCGTGCGACACAGTCACACGGCGATTTATAGAGCATGCCACGAAAAGGAATACACTACGAGCACCGCTTTGACCTTTGTTGCCGACGGCCTCGGTGGGTGGCTGAGGCCGTGTTCCTACAAGTTATAAAGTAGGGGGCTGGACTTGACTTCCTGGCACCGTCCTTGCCTTCCCACCGCCTCCTCGTCCGTCCCTCCGGGGTCCCTCGGGGCTGGGGATCAGGGACCTCTTCCCCTCGCCCTGTGAACAAACCAAGCCGGGAAAGGTAGGCTCGCACGGAGAGGCCCTCGGCGTGGAGAAAACCCGCCACGCGTCCCCCCAGCGCTCAGAGGGAAGAGTGTGCCACGCCTCCGGGCGCGCGCCCGCCCGCCTGCTTGCCTGCTCGCCCGCCGCTTCCTGCCCGGGCTGCTCTTCCCTCTCCTCCCTCCAGCCGCGCTCCCGGAAGGCGCCTGCGCAGCAGCAGCAGCAGCAGCAGCCGCCGCCGCCGCCGCCCGCTCCCGGCTCCCCTCCCTTCCTCCCGGGCCCCGCCCTCCTTTCTCTCTCTCTCTTTCCTCTCTCTGTCTCTGTCTCTCTCTCGGGTTTCGCTCCCCGCCCGGTGAGCCAGCCGTCGAGTCGGGTTCCCGGCGCGCCGCCCCCTTCCCTCCGCCCCTCCCACCGCTCGGGTCTCCAGCCGGCCGGAGATGAGGCTGCGGCGGCCGCGGCTCGGGCAGCCCCGGCGGTGGCTGCGGTGGGGGCGGCCGGAACCCGGGCGTTGAGACGCGGCGGCGGCGGCGGCGGCGCTGCCTCGGCCGCTGCAGCAGCGGGCTTCCCTTCCTCTTGAGCGCAGCCAGGAAGTTTGGCGCCCCGTGCATGTGTGCGCGTGAGTGTGGGTGTGCGCGGTGAGGCTCCGGGCAGCGAGCGCTCCTGCAGGCGCTTGGGCTTTGCTGTTTTTTTTCTCTCTCTCTCTTTTTTTTTTGCCCGCGTCGCTTCCCGTAAGGCAGCCGCTGCCCCGCCGCGGAGCTTGCTTGGGCTGTGGCCGGAGGAGGGGGCGCGGCGGCGGCGGCGGCAGCGGCGGCGGCAGCGGCGGCGGCAGCAGCGGCGGCGGCGGGCGCTCTCCTTTTGTTGTTGTTTCCTCTCTGCCTGGAGAGCTGAAGGGGGACGCGCCTGGGTGGGGCGGCTCGCAGCCCGGGCCTGCTGGCCCCCGGGGCTCCCGGGCGCCCGGGGTAGCTCGAGGAGAGCGGGCTTCAACATGATGGCGGCCGAGGCCGGCGGTG